ATTCGTTCTCGCTGTTGTGAAAATCCTTTTAAGCTACCTCTATCTAGAGCTTGAAGCTATCAATAGGCAAGGACGTGCTGCAATCTTAGTCACGTGCACCTCTACAGGGGAAGGTGTTGTTAGGGGCAACTAGGCTTGAGCCCGTAAGCGATTTACATCGCGACAGTTACGACCCAACCGATAGGCTGCAGTGGAGGTCGCAGAATTTGCCGTCTGCACTGATCTCGTGCCGATGTGTCAACCGTTTACAACCTTGCCAAGGCAGGTGTGGCACCAAAACAGATCAAATCTTGACTACACAACCACTCGGAGACTCTTGCATCCCAGCAAGATATCTAAAACTGCATTGCGCAAGGCAAACGGGACCTTGCCAAGGGCCAAAGTAATATACACGCTCTCGCTAACGAGCTTGGCTACATTGAAAGCCATTTGGATACTAAATCAAGATATCAGGTAAGCGACTTTTTTAGGCGAGCTTTAAGGGCTGAAGACTTACCATATCTTCTCTGCACCATAGACGCTTATAACCGCCGACACATCCTAAGCCATAATCGTTATAGCACTCCTGTCCCAGACCTGGATACTTCTCGAAGAGGGCCCCTATGCTCAGTCTCCTTGTCCAGTAGGTGAGCTGGCGGCCCTCCTCATCCCAATCTCCAATTTTGTGCTCAGTTCCGCCGCACTCTGTGGATTTGCCGAACCATTCGCATTCTGCGTTGCCGATTTTGCATTTAGCCGACGCCGTACGCATCATAACAGCCCCAATAGCGATGGCGGTGTATATACGCATTGTGAATTCGAGTTGATAATGGAGCAAATAGAAAAAAAGACTCAGTTTCGGACTGAATAGACTTATTGTGTAAACAGCGACATGAGGAAAGGTCTGCGGTCTTTTAAATTCTTAGACAATAGGCGTAGGAAATGTTAGTATTGTCATGCGTCGTGGCATGATTTTTTGAGGCTCGTATAATGTAAAATGATAAGGCTAGACACTGCCTCAACACTACTTCTCTAAGTTGAGCTGCGGAAATTACAGGCCGCACGAGCAACCGAGCTGCTCAGATATAATTCATGCGCCGTGTTACAGTTGTTTCATGACTCTAGGATGTTGGCGAAGAGACAGCCGAGGCTTCTTTTGGATTCATCTGTACATAGTCTCTAGGTCCTTTTTTTGTAGGCGGTGATATGGAGTCGTACCATGAGATCGGCCGGGGCATTATTAGGGTCTCTGCGCAATCAAGTCCTGAATCGCTCATTTATGCTCGCAAATCGTAAACCGTTAATGCGCGCCCGGGTGCCAAAGAAGGAGGGCAGGGCACGAGTCAGTGAACAGCCATGCGCTCCGAGCTGTATTGCCAGTGGCTGTTAATGCGTCCAGTCTCTTCCCTCTCCCAAGCTCAGAGCTTGATATGGGCATAGCATTGCCAGAATGCGGCTGAGGCTTCCCCCCTTTCCCACCCCCAAGGCCCCGAATGTTAGTGCCTTGGCTTTCCTGTAACCCCGGATGAACCTGGTTTTTTGCTTTTTCTTGAATGGATTGGCATGGCTGCGAAGCTCATTTTCACTTAGTTACCAGCGAAACTTGGCTAATAATCACTGCGTTTGTATATCTCCTTCAAACTAGAGCCTGCTACCAGCTGGGGCTTACACTATCATTTTTTACCGAATAAATGAGGTCCAATAACTTGAGCTAGACTTCATGTGTCACGCGGCATAGGTGGGTATAATTGCTTAAGAGTCAGCCGTAGAGCGCGTTCGTTTTGTTGACATCATGCCATGACTTTTGTCTCACACCACGATTGTTTAGGACAGCTTAGACAGAATAAAAGACTCTTGATTTCCTATTTGAAAGAGCGGAATTATACGAAA